TTGTTTCTGTTGAGAATGAGGAACTCAGTGAGTTGAAGGAAAACTCAACGAGTTAGATTGCAATTCACAATTCTGTAATTCATGAGAACTCAACGAGTTGATGGGTAAACTCGACAAGTTAAGTCAACTCGGAGTGTTGACTTTGACTTGACCATAATTGACCTTAATGGTTATGAGTATGGAATGGTATCTAAGGTGTTGTTTTGGTTCAGGGAGTTGAGTAGAGCCGATTCAGGGCAAAGACATTTTAGCTATCATCCGACAGTAAGGTGAGTTTCCTCCTGGTTTGAACGGGTTGAAGGCACCAAGGTCGACCCGTATATGTTAAGTGTATTGATTAGTAGTAGAGTATGGGTAGGGCCCGTATCTTATAGATAGTTAAGTGCCCGTATCTCATAACATTATTTGTGTATGGATATAGGACTGATTGATAAATTTCATTATACTTGTTGTCTGTGTGATACTTGTATGTATGTTTAGTAACAAAGTGTGGGTGGGGCCCATTTCTCAAATTAGTAGTGTGTGGGTGGGGCCCGTATCTTCTAGTTAGCCGAGTGTGGGTGGGGCCCGTATCTCGTAGTCAGTGGAGTGTGGGCACAACACGTATCTCCCAGTTAGTCGAGTGTGGGTTGGGCCCGTATCTCGTAGTCAACGGAGTGTGGGCGGGCTCGTATCTTCTGGTTAGCCGAGTGTGGGCGGGGCTCGTATCTCATTAAGTGTGGGCAGGGCCCATATCTCTAGTAGCATGATTATGTGTATGGTATGTGGTAGTTTGGGGAGACTCACTAAGCTTCTTGCTTACAGTTTTCAGTTTTGTTTTCAAGTACTTTCGGTAACAAAGGGAAGAGCTTAGGATGATTGCAGTGCACACACCATTTATTTAGCCTGTGATGTTTTTTACTCTAGTATGTTGATATGAGCTTTGATGAGATAATCTAATTTGATACTTTGACTTGTGTTTTTAGATGGAATGATTTTGATAGATACAGTTATTTTAATAAATAAAAATGAAATTTTTGGTCATGATTTTTGGCATGTTATAAGTATATTTCATTACCTTATCCTACACTATTTTCTTTATCTATGCTTATGTTTTATCTGATTATGTATAAGGAATTTCCTAGTCAACGATATGACTGCTCATGTCCTGTTTAATTCGGGTGCTACCCGATCTTTTGTATCTCTTGCACATAGCAAGAGGTTTTACATTGATCCTGGAGCTTTGGATTATCCATTGGTGGTAAAGATTGCTAATGATCATTTAGTGATTGCTTTGAGGGTGCATCGAGGGTGTGTTTTGAACATGTTTAACGAGAGATATTTTATTGATTTGGTTTCGATTCCTCTATGACAGTTAAAGTTTATCATAGGGATGGATTGGTTGGGTCCCAATAGGACCATGATTGACTATGCGCACCAGTTAGTGAGAGTTCGAACCCCAAGTGGGGGATACCCGGTTATATAAAGAGAAGGTGCTTAGTGTGGGCCAACTCTTTATTCAGTAGCAAGGGCTAAGAGATATCTTCAACAGGGTTGTTCTAGATTTTTGGCATATATGGAGGATACTAAGGTTGGGGCACGATGACTTTGAGTGGGGTACCCATCGTTCGGTATTTTATGGATGAGTTTCCTGAGGATTTACCTAGAGTGCCTCCCGAGAGGCAGGTTGAGTTCTGGATCAATTTGGTTTCGGAGCGGCTCTCATAGACAAGGGACATTACCGATTAGCACCTCCAGGGATGCAGGAGTTGTCTACATAACTTCAGGAGCTGTTGGACAAGGGTTTTATCAGATAGAGTAGTTGGCCATGGGGAGCACAGATCTTGTTCATGAAATAGAAGGATGGTTCACATAGAATGTGCATTGACTACAAGGAGTTGAATAAGTTAACAGTGGAGAACCATTTCCTACTCCCGATGATTGATGATTTATTTGACTAGCTTCAAATTGTGCATCTTGTTACTCTAAAACTGATTTGCGATTCGATTATCATTAGATGTGGGCAAAGAGGAGGATGTGTAGAAGAAGGCTTTCAAAACTTGTTATGGTCATTATAAGTTTGCAATGATACCATTCGAGCTCACAAACGCAGCAACAACGTTCGTGGATATGATGAATAGGGTGTGTACACTAATGTTGGATAAGTATGTGATTTTATTAATTGATGATATGATGGTCTAATATAAGACCAAATAGCAAAATGTGGAGCACTTGTGAGAGGTCTTGGAGACCCGAGGGAGAGGTTGTATGCTAAATTCTCCAAATATGAGTTTTAGTTGTGTGAGATTTACTTTTTGGGGCACATTGTCAACCAAATAGGTATATCGGTCAATCTGGCCTAGCTTAAGGTGGTGATGCGGTGGGAAATTTTGAGGACACCATCTAAAATTTAGAGTTTTCTAGGTCTCGCAGGATATTAATAGAGATTTATTCAAGATATATCCAAGATTGTTGTACCATTGACTCACTTAACAAAGAAGAATGTTACTTCGTAATTGGGGCATGATCGGCAGTCAACTTTTAAGATGATGGAGTAGAGATTATGTAAGGCCCCGATTCTCACTCTTCCTGATGGTATGGAGGATTTTTTGTTTTCTTATGACATGTGTATCTCGGTATTGGGGTAGTACTTATGTAGAGGGACCACGTGATTGCTTATGCTTCGAAGCAGCTGCAGCTTCATGAGGCGAATTTCCCTACTCATGATTTGGAGTTAGGGGTTGTGATTTTTTCACTTAAGATTTAGAGGCTTTATTTGTATGGGGTTAGGTGTACTATATACATTGACCACAAGAGCCTCAGATGTGTGATGGGTCAGTCGAACCTAAATATGATACAATGGATGTTGTTGGATGTAGTTAAGGATTATGATTGCAAGATTCTATATAACCCAGGGAAGGCCAATGTTGTGGCCAATGCTTTGATTCTTAAGGCCGTGAGTACACCCATTAGGGATCTATTCTTGAGGATGGTTATTGTTTCTCATCTATTAGATATGATTAAGAAGGCTCAAGTGGAAGGGTTGAAGAGGGAAAATTGGAAGGTAGAGAGAATTAGGGGACTTATCCCATTGTTTAAAAGAGATAGTCGGGGTTTATTAACTCAGTATGGTAGGGTTTTGGTGCCAGTTGCTGATGGGGTTATACAAATGCTACTGGAAAAGGCTGATAAATTGAAGTTTTCAATTCACCTAGGGGCCACGAATATGTATATGGATTTGAGGTTGAGTTACTAGTGGCCGTATATCAAGATGGAGATAGCATGGTTTGTAGAACGGTGCTTGACTTGCCAGAAAGTCAATACTGAACATCGTAGACCCCGCGACAAGATACAACAGTTACCCATCCCCACATGGAAATAGGAGGATATCACCATTGACTTCATCACAAAGTTGTTGAGGACGACACATGGATTTGATTCTATTTGGTTCATTTTCGATAGATTGACTAAGAGTGCTCATTCGATATTATGATGATCGTGGCTCTCGTCAGATGGGCAAGTAGAACTCTTTCATTGGTTCCAAGTTTGTCAGGGTATTTCTCCTAGTAGAAGAGGGCAAGGCGCAATTCTGCCCCTTAATCGCCATACCAGTGAATCCGCATTGGCGGAGGCCCGACGATGGCCTCAAACTTGATATGACCGGATTCTAACCAGGCCAAGCTTGGCGTTAGTTTGACTTATCCTTTCTTAATGTTTTTCCCAAGGGATACGTCACCGTTCAAGCCTATATTACAACACATGTATGTCAAGGATTATCTCTAACATTCGACAAACTTTAGGCAGGGCCATCGATGTGTGTTAGATCCATCATGAGACGGTTCATGATGCCCGTTTCACCATTAAAATCCCCCATTATTCAAGACCTTTCATATTTTCCTCGTTTCCTTTCTTTCATTGTAGCGACTTAGGCATTTTGATAATTTTCCTTTCTATCATTCATCCATTCTTGACGATGGATTGTTATGGTAGAGTCCCTACCGTAGAGGAATTCCAACATCTACATGAATGATTTGGTTTCTTATCGGAGCATGGTGTGATGATTTCTACGAAGGCATCATCGATCTATGATTGTCCTCTAGGGAAAGTGGGGGTTCCTATTCCTCTATTCGAAGCGGGGTTATGCCTACTAACCTCTGACTTTTTTGATATGATCGAGTATCACTACGAATTAATAGTTGACGAATTAGCCCCAAGTTCCGTTAATAAGATCATAGGATTCAAACTGATTTGTTGATCTCTGGGTTGTATACCCACTTTTTGGGTTTTCAGTTACTTCTTTTGTGTGTCTACGAACTCCGGCATCCGCACCTTGGCGAAGAGGTGGGGCATTCGTCATTTGATTTCTGAGCAAGATACTTCGAAGAAAAATTGGTAGAGGAAATGGTGCTGGGTCAACCGAAACCTTGTGAGACATGGGTTTCGTAAAATCTGAGACTTTCCCGACTATCTTCCCAAGCTATTTGGGGATAACCTAACTCTTGGAAAATGACTAGGAAACATTATTGTTATCGGGGAGAACTGGGAAGATTTCATCCTTGTCTCATCCGGTATGAGTGCCGTCTGGAGGGCACGTAGGAAGATGGCGCAATTATTCATTGTGAGAGGTGGTATTCGCTCATTTGCTTATCCCCCTTCAAAAAATAAGAACAAGTTATTTTATTGGTTTGTAATTTCTCATACTTGGTGTTTGTGTTCGTAGGTGCCAATCCGAGATTTCCTTCGAGATGGCCCTATGTGGTCACTATCGAGGTAAGATTTTTCACTGGGAATTTGATCTTGTGGAGGCTCTTCCCCCTCCCATATCTGAAAAACGTATGTGGGATCTCTCTATGTTGATCTCAGCAGAATGGGGAAATGTTGGTTCTAGCGGAACTGCCTCGCCTTCCCAACTAGTTGTTGGGCCATTTCCAAGCTCTTTTTTCAGCCTCTGGTTTTGCCGATATTCTTGTGGTGGTACAAGCACGAAAAGGTAATACCCCTATAAAAAACAAACTTTGCGCATGGTGATGTCTTCGGAAGAAGAGACTAAATCTTATGACGTGGGCCTCCGTCCTCGTAAGATGTGCAACACGGTGTCCGTAGCCAAGCTTCTTGGTGGTATTGGGGATGTTCTTGGCTATAAGCTTTCTATGCTTGGGCAGAAAGAGAAAGTGGTGGTGCCTAGTTCTTTAAAGAAGCCACATTCAATGTTTATTGGCTCACTCCAGTTCATCCTGGTTCTTGTTCCGTGCTTGGGAGGTATACTGGGCGTGTCAGGAGATTCTTCCCCATCGAACAAACCTTCCATGGTTGACGAATCTCTACGTCCCATCCCTTGGCTTCTGAGGCTTGTGTTTCAAGCTGGGTGGTTACTAAGGGTTCTTTACTTTCAAAATACATTGTCACCCTGGATTGGAGTAATTGTGCCCCTCCACCGGCCACAATGAAGTTGCTTGTGGCCCAATCGGGCGCATGCATGCCCGGTGAACTTCAATGTGTCGCTGCTCAAACTTCTACCCTTATGGTTGTTGCTGCTAATCGGGTTTTACACTTTGGCATAAATGAAGTGCAGTTAAAAACTTTGCAAGATGATGTTGCCAGCTTAAGGGAGGAACTCCGTGATTTAGAGGCAGAGCGTCCATTACTATCTGACCAAAATTGCATTGTGGCCTACGAGAAGACCGCATTGGAAGATCATGTGGAAACTCTACAAGGCCAAGTGTAGTGACTAAAAAATTGAGTTATCTAACTCGAGAGAAGGGTATTCTAGCAAGTGAGTTGGCCAGGTGCCAACGTCAACCGGCTCATACCCAGGTTGACGATGTTGTTGCCCGATGCAACTTGCAATGGATGTTGGAAAGGGGGTGGTCCGAGTAATTGATAAGGTTATTGAGAGTGAGGAATTTTCTAGTGGGATCCAGGGTGTTCAAAAGGCGTGTAAGGCCCTTGGTCTTGAAAAAGGGAAATAGTTAGCCAGCCACTCCATAACTTCTAGTGAACTTGAATCCCTGGATCCTGGCTGTGTCTCGAGAAGAGCCGAAGAGGTGGATATTGCACTTTTGTCCCTTGTTGAGACTGACTTTGATGGCCACTTTCGTCTGGGGGAGCTGGATTACAACAGCTTCTGCTAGTTTTGCGGTAGGTCGGGTCCGGGAGGCTCTTCCTCGGACTCTAGGGACTTATTTTTGTTTGCCCCTTTTTGTTCGTTCTATAATGTATCCGCACTCCCTTGTATTATATGTGTAATGAAAGATATTGGTTGTGAATGACCAAGAACTGTGTTTTTTGCTTTGTACTTGGTACAAAAATGTTTTTTCTGCATTTCGAATTGACTTGTGATATATTTAGGCTAGGGTTATTCGGCGGTTCTATTGCAATTCTTTTCTACACACTCCCTTGTTCTAGGGTCCATGTTAATTAGCTTAGAGTGTGTCTCGGACGTTATGCATCCACTACTGTTGGCATATATGCTTTCAATGATTTTCGACTAGTATACTTAGTCGAGGTTTTCACGTTAACTCGCGAAAAATATTAGCGTATGTTCTTGGCTATAATATGAGGTTTAGCTACCTTTTTTTTGGTCGAGATCGTCACCTCAAGGCCTTTTACTATCTGATTTTTAGGGGAAAGGTTATGAATCTTTCTAAGACCCCTTTTTTATGCCATCAATTAAAATTTATACATTTTCAGCTCTAAGATGTTATGGGCAAGTTTTAGGTAAAGATTATGATTCCTTGAGACCTATGGTTGCATCCTTGTATAGATTTTTTTCAAGTAGCGTAGGTGATTAGCCGTTGTTTTTACTTGGAAAATATGAAGAACCTCTTTACTTTGTGTTTTTGCAATTGGTTAAATAGAATTCTGAAAAGCTCTTTCAAAACAAAAAATACATTAACTCTTAAAAAGGAAAGACACAAAACATTAGACTCTAAATGTCTAAGTACCAAGGCGTGGGCGCCGTCTTCATGTCGGCACTTGGAGTATGGTTATCCTGTTCAGAGTTTTATCATACTCCTTTTTTTTCATCCTTCACTTTATTTTTTGTAACACCCCAAATTCCATAGGTGCTGTTGAAGGGCTTAAATTGTAAATTAAGGAAAGGGACTCGATGAGTAGGCATGCTTACTCGGCGAGTCGGAGTGGGATTTGTTGTAGGTTTAAGTGGCCAACTCGCCGAGTTAGCGTCTTGTACTCGACGAGTTGGTGCTGAAAGGAGAAAACCCTAATCCTGAGGGTTGTGCCCTATATAAAGCACATTATAACACATCCTCAGCCTCTTTTCTACCCTTTTGAGATATAAAAGCCCTAATTTCGTTTGTAAGAAGACTTGGAAGCAAAGTGATTTGTAAAGAGATCTTGAAGATCAAGAAGCTTGGATCAAGGAGACTTGAAGAGATCCGGATTATACTTCAGTAGGAGGTCATTTTGGAGGTAAGGAATCGTTATCCTTGGCCTTCTCCTTTCTAGTTCCATTTTCATGGAGTTTTAGGGTTTGGTTGGAGAAATCTTGATGAGATCTTGAAGCATGAGTTAGATCTGGAGTTGAAACTCCAGATCTGATTTCTATATGGATCATTGATGCTGAAAGTTTTTCTGCTTGTTATGAAAAAGCCTTTCCCCAAGAGTTAAGTCCATTTCTAGCTTGGTTGTCAGTAGTATGGGGGCAAGAAGCATGTAAAGGTAGAAACTTTATGTTGCTAATGGACCTTAGAGACCCATATCTCTGTGTCTCGAGATTATGGGAATGCATGCATGGAATCGGCGAGTCTGGGAGATGACTCGGCGAGTCGGGCTAGAGACCAGTCATTAAGTCGCGTGTTAACTCGGTGAGTCGCATGCGTGACTCGGCGAGTCTTATGATGATGAGCTTGGACTCGACGAGCTGGAAGAACAATTCGGCGAATCTATTGAAGATTGTCGTGAACTCGGTGAGTCTGTTCTTGGAATCGGTGAGTCTGATCGCAGAGCCTAACCCCTTTCAGTTAAAGCTTTGGATTAGTGATTTGGTTGGGGACTCAGTGAGTTGGTCAGGATGGAATTCAGAGATTGTTGGACTCGACGAGTCTTGGGGCGACTCGGCGAGTTAAGTTGTGCTATTAGAGTTTTCTGAATATGAGAACTCGACGAGTTGACGGGATGACAGTGCGAGTAGAGTCAATCAGGAAGGTTGACTTTGATTAAGGACTTTGACTTTGAACTTCAGGGGTATTATGGTAAATTGAATATTCATGTCAATGGTTATTGATGGATATAGGTGTTGGAGTTTGAGGCGGTGCTTCGGGGTTGTGCTCTTGTGATTTGGATCGGCAGTTGCAAAGTAAGTTATCCTCACTATATCGACAGGGTCTACGGCACCAAGGCCGACTCTTTATCGGATGGAAATCCGGGTATTGCTTGTTATGTTATTGCTTTGATAGATCTGCATCCTGGTATTTAGGGTAATGATATGTTAGTGACCTGGTTAAGGTCGGTACCCGATATATAGGGTAATGTTATGCTAGTGACCGGTTAGGTCAGAATCCTGGTTAGGATGTTGATATGTTATGTGATCTGTTAGAATGTTTGTCTGGTTAATAATTTGTTATGTGATTAATTGTTTTATGTGCACAAGGTTGTTTGACGGGGGTTTGGGTTGAGGCGGCTCGTGCTTTGTGTTTTAGGCCAACATACCCAGGGCGGACCGAATACTCCGAAGGCCCAGCGAGCAGTCCGGATAGGCTGAAGGCCCCAAGAGGGCGGACCAAACCTGTCGAGGCTTGGAGAATGGACCAGGCTGACTGAAGGCCCGATGCAGGCAGACCAGTCATACTGTAGACTCGGAGGGTTGACTAGGTGGACTGAAGGCCCGATGTGGCGGACCGGTCCTATAGTAGATCCGATGTGCATGGTCGTTCTATTTGCTATATGTTATGAGTATGTTTATGTGTGCTTGGTATTTTGGGGGTAACTCACTAAGCTTTCGGGCTTACAGTTCAGTGTTTTGTGTCAGGTACTTCAGGAGATCGTGGCAAGGCGAAGGCATGATCGTACTACTCCTCGTGTTTTATGATTTATGTGATATGGATCTGGGGGATACTCTAATGTTTAAACTATTTTGAAAACAAGATATATAAACTTAATGGTTTTTTAATGAATTAAAATGATTTAATTTGGCTTAAATTTTATGGTCGTTACGAGTTGGTATCAGAGCCTTGGTTTGTGTGAATTGGAGGAACATTCATGTGAATCCAGTCTCAAATCAAGGAGGGATTTTCAAAATGTTTTTTCGAAATAAGTAAAGGAGGATGCAGTGGGTACGATCAGCTAGACCCCAAAATACCATACAAGTTATTTGATTATGTGATATGTTAGAACAGCGTGCTAGTACTAGGCTAGGGATCTTCAGGAACTGCATGATAGAATTGCTTGATTATATGATGCCTGGTAGCCTAGGTTTTCCTTCGTATGAAATTGACATCATTACTGTAGTATTTAGTGTATGCATCATGGTTATACATAACTAAGATCTTATATCCTGAGAATGTTTGATTTGGCCTTATGTTCCGTTCTTGTTTGATTGGGAGCTTAAGGTAGGATTCGATATTCGAAAGTCTATGGGGTCCAGCGTTATGTATGGCTAACATACACTAGTACTGCAGGGTTGGTGGAAGCTTCATGGATGGGAGGGTTGCGTGAGATCGGTAGGTCGGTTATGGGATAGTGGTGCTCCTCTAGGAGTAGGGATCGAGTGTTCATGATGTATATGCTACTGTTAGGGTGTTGTGGTCATACTTGATAAAAATATGGGTAGGTATGGAAGGTAGTATGGGCCCGTACTACTGAAAGCACAGGATCTATATGCGTATCAAGGAAGTCACAACCCCTAGGGTTTTGTTGGGAGATAGTTCTCAAGGTTATTATGAGGAATGCCTAATATCTTGTGGTGCATTTGCAGTACGGCGATTACGAGATGTCTCAGGGCAGGATCCGGTTCGAGATCGGGATTAGGAGAGGGTGATCAGGGTGGATCGGTACCACCTGAGGTCATTGGTCAGATGAGTACGGACGAGTTGGATGCCAGGATTCGTGAGATCCAACATGATGAGGTTGTTGCTATGTTCCGGGCTGAGTTTCCGGAGATGTTTGGGTCGATCAAGACCGCCATGGTTGAGTACTTTGATGAGCGTTATGCAGCTCTTGTAGAGGCGGCTGTAACAGCAGAAACAAGAGGAGCCAATCGAGGTTTTCAGTATCGAGACTTCGATAATATGAATCCCCCTACTTTTTATGGAGTTCAGGATCCGAGCGTTTCTATGAGGTGGTTGTCAGACATGGAGGGTTGTTTCTTCACGTGTTCATGCCCTGCAGATTAGAGGGTGAGATGTGCTCTGAACCTTTTGAGGATCAAGGCGAAGGATTGGTGGAGATTGACTATGGGATCTTATTCGGATGCGCAGAGGTTTACGGTTACTTGGGATCAGTTTCGAGAGATGCTCAGCACTCGCTATGTTCCACAGGTTAAGAAAGAGAGAGAGAGAGAGAGAGGTTAGATCAGGAGTTCCTAGAGCCGAGGCAGGATTCAGAGTCAGTGATGGAGATCACCAAGATGTTCACTGAGAGGGCGATGTTTTTTCCCGGAGTTTGCTTCGGAGCAGGCTCAGATGGCCCATCAGAGGGTTTGTGTCCATGCAAAGGTGTGATACGTTATTAGAGCTGCAGGAGGCCGCCAGGCAGCGGGAGTTAGAG